GTGTGTGTATTAGATTGTAATATTATATTGCATAGTACATAGTTTTATATTATAGTACGTGTGTAGTATAGTACGATATAGTACTACACATGTATAGTGTACCAGTTAGTATAATATAACAAATACATCTGTAGTTACGAATAATAATATTAATGATCCTTGTTATAGATAATGATACTCGACATATCTATTGTTACTCGCGGTTATCACATACGAACTAAGATATATTATACCTTCAATAAGAGATCTTTGCACGAACTACACACTTCAACTAGTTACCGTGACTGATTTCTATAAATTTGTAATTCTGTAAACGTTGTGCCGGGTCAAAATTGTGCTACTCCATATAAAAGACAGCGATTGTGATCTTTACGATTTTCGAAAGTTATATCCTGGCTCCCTAGATATTGAATAATTTTTATGAACAAATGTTTCTCCACATCACCGAAAAAAACGAAGATATTCGCCGTACAGTGTACCAGATTGTAATTTAATTGAATACATAGTAAGCATGCAACACCGTTGTGGAAATGAGAGATTCTCAATAAGCATTCACTTGTTGAAATATTTTTATACGAATGAGCAATTTTTTATTTAAGTCAAGTGGCTGTGCGTATGTATGCACGGCTTAATACGCTTTTGTCCAAGAAACAATACACAACCGATGTATTAAAAGTGAGCAAATGAAAAACTTTGAAAAGTGAATCCTCGATTTTCTAAAATCATAATGCGATCTTAATTTAACACTTTTCTGGCGAAATATTCGAAGTGGCAGTCGTGTGTAAGAAAAATATCTTTTTCATACATGTTTTCAAACAGTTGCACAATTTTTGTTATTTATTATATGAATTCAATAATGTATACTGTAATTTTGTTTATTATAACTGTAATCGAATACTGTTTTTTACTACTGACTTCAGTCGTCTGTCCTTGCCACAGTTCATATTTATTTCTGTTTTGACAGAGACACAAGTGTAACATAAATCTTCTTATTGTAATCGTCATTTGAATTCTAGTGTTTTATAACTGGAATACTCTGATACATTTGCTCTACTGTCAACAAATGTTATCATTTTTCCATTTACACTGATATTCTTGAACAACAAAAAATAGTATATACACACATATGTATGTGAAAGTATTAAAACTTCAATTTCTTCCTTTTCAAAGATTTCAATACTTCCCACTCCCTTCGGATACCTTGAAACCAATTTTTCCTTCGCAGTCGCCTTTTCTTGAATATCACCCGAGAAAGTTCACATGACTTCGGTTTTGAAATTAACGACACTGTATGCGTACTTTGAAGTTTATTTTTCGTGCTTTCGTCACTGAATCGAAACCCGTATGCTGGGATAAATTGTTGGAATTTTGAAGGGCGCTGTTATACGCCGATCAAAGTGGAAAACGTGGCTAGCGTTTCCATAGAATTTGGTAATTCATTCATTGTAAACAATTGAAGAAATATCTTTGACGAATTGTCTACATGATGGAACGATATGGACAAAGGAAAGGCTTTCCACTAGTTCGAATTTTTCCTGTTATGGATATTGCAAAACATGAGTGCAAAGAGAGATACAGAATTCCTTGAATAATTTTCGTACTTACGAAACAATTCTCTTGCTTATGAGGCTTTCGTTTTGAAAACTAATAGTGCCGGGAGAGTCATCTTTTTTATCGCAAAGAATAACGTCTATTACCTTTGTGCCTGAAGTTTGTCTTTCCTCGAAGATGCGTCTCACTTAGAAAAAATATTTGGCGCGAAGGATCGATTAACCCCTTTGAGTATACTCGTCATGTAGAAAAAAACTCGCGTTTGCTACTTATTTAGTAATAATTTATTGCAAAAGAATTATGTATATTTAAGAATTATGTAATTTTAGCACATATTAGAATATCTTGAAACTACGAAACAAACGAAGAAAATATACTTAAAAATAACGGGAATTTTTCGGAGAAATCTGACACAATTGACACTATGCAAAAACAAATTAAGTTTATCTCTAATCATTTCAATTTTGCAAATATTTGATTTTCTATTTTTTCTTTTTTTAAGGAATCAATGAAAAATCAAGTGTTTTTCTCCGCATTTTGAGTTCTTCTTTATGGAATGATTTTCGAAAAAATAAAGTCAAGTCAAGTTCTGCAAATACCGTAAATACCAACAGACTTAGAAACATTTCAAAGAAAAGCCAAAAGAAATTCATCGTTTTATTATAATTCGACTTAACCTTACTGTGTCCTGGTTGAG